AGATGACTAGTCGATGGTCATAGGGCAGATCAGCTCCACGGTAGGTCCTGGTGTCAAGGACATGGGCTCGCATTCGCTGGTCCGTCACTATGTAGTCCAGCAGATGTTCTTGCTTGGACCCGGCATGCATCCATGATGTTGTGTGGATGCGCCGATGCCGGAACAGCGTGTTGGTAATTACAAGCCCATGGGCTGCACAAAAATCTAGCAGCCTCCTACCGTTGTTATTGAGCTGATCTGGCCCATGCCCTCCAATCACTCCAGACCAGGTGCCAGTATCATGACCAACTCGGGCATTGAAGTCACCCAACATGATGACTCTATCCCGAGGGGCCACTTTAGCCAGCACCTGTGAAAGGAGGTCATAGAAGGCATCTGACTCATCGGCTTTGCCTGCATCCCTCCACGGATGTTCATCTTCGGTGGGGGCATAAGTAACCACGACCACCATTCCTCGCCTCCGGTTGATGGGAAGGTGAGCCCAAAGTAGCCTGGGGCTTACAGCTTCCCACACCTCACCGCCACGCTCCCACGCCCCCTTCATTCTTTTGTTCAAAAGAAGACCCACACCCTGTTGTTTGGCAGTCTGCTGCCCCGAGTAGAGGACTGTCCACCCCTCATGGTGGCAGGAGCCAGAGCCGGTCCACCGGACCTCCTGAATGCCGCATAGATCCAGGCGGTACCGGTCCAGCTCCCGACAGAGGAGTGGCAGCCTCTCCTCTGCAGTGAGCGTTCGAACATTCCACGTGGCCACCCGTAGTGGCTTTTCGTTGTTTCTGGAGTAGCCCCGAGGGTAGGTATTCAATCTCCTGGCTCCGCCAATTGGGGTTTGGCCAGGAGACGTCATAGACGCCTGGCCCCCCGGGGCCTCCGGCACAAGCTTAGTTGTTACATATTTCACTTTAATTCGTGGTTTTGTGGTAATTAATTGAAGGTGGAGGGGTTACCAGCCCCTCGCACCCGTCCAGAGCCCCCGTTTAGCCCCTGTGGTGGACACATATGCCATGAGGGGAGGAGCCAATCAAAATTGGAACTCCCCCCACAGCACTGTCCACGACAGAGTTGCCCGTCCGGCACCGCGAGGACACACACAGGTACACACACACAGGTACACACACACACACAGGTACACACACACAGGTACACACACACACACACAGGTACACGCACACACAAGTTACACACACACAGACACACACACAGACACACACAGGTACACACAGGTACACACACACACAGACACACACACACACAGACACACACACACACACACAGGTACACACACACACACGGTACACACACACAGACACACACACACACACAGGTACACACAGGTACACACACACACAGACACACACACAGACACACACACACACACACAGGTACACACACACACAGGTACACACAGGCACACACACACAGACACACACACACACACAGGTACACACAGGTACAGGTACACACACACAGGTACACACACACACACAGACACACACACACAGGTACACACACACAGACACACACACAGGTACACACACACAGACACACACACACACAGGTACACACAGGTACAGGTACACACACACAAGTACACACACACAGGCACACACACACAAACACACACACACACAGGTACACACACAGACACACACACACACAGGTACACACACACACACACAGACACACACACAGACACACACACACAGACACACACACACAGGTACACACACACACACAGGTACACACACACACAGGTACACACAGACACACACACACACAGGTACACACACACACAGACACAAGTACACACACACAGGTACACACACACACAGACACACACACACAGACACACACACAGACACACACACACACATGTACACACACACAGACACAGGTACACACAGGTACACACAGACACACACACAGACACACACAGACACACACACACAGGTACACACACACACACAGACACACAGACACAGGTACACACACACACAGAGACACACACACACACAGACACACACACACACAGGTACACACACACACAGGTACACACACAAAGACACAAGTACACACACACACACAGGTACACACACACACACAGGTACAGACACAGGTACACACACCACACAGGTACACACACATACAGGTACACACACACACACAGACACAGGTACACACAGGTACACACAGACACACACACAGACACACACAGACACACACAGGTACACACACACACACAGACACAGGTACACACACACACACAGACACAGGTACACACACACACACACACAGGTACACACACACACACAGACACACAGACACAGGTACACACACACACAGAGACACACACACACACAGACACACACACACACAGGTACACACACACACACAGGTACACACACACACAGGTACACACACAAAGACACAAGTACACACACACACAGGTACACACACACAGACACAGGTACACACACCACACAGGTACACACACACACAGGTACACACACAGAACAGGTACACACACCACACAGGTACACACACACACAGGTACACACACACACAGGTACACACACACACACACAGACACAGGTACACACACACACACACAGGTACACACACACACACAGGTACACACACACAGACACACACAGACACACACAGGTACACACACACAGGTACACACACACACACAGGTACACACTCACACAGGTACACACACACACAGGTACACACACACACAGACACAAGTACACACAGGTACACACACACACACAAGTACACACACACACACACAGACACACACACACAGGTACACACACACACAGACACAGGTACACACACACAGACACACACACACAGGTACACACACACAGACACAGGTACACACAGGTATAGGTACACACACACAGGTACACACACAGACACAGGTACACACACACACAGGTACACACAGACACACACAGCCACAGGTACACACAGACACACACAGCCACAGGTACACACAGACACACACAGACACAAGTACACACAGGTACACACTCACACAGGTACACACACACACAGGTACACACACACACACAGGTACACACACACACACAGGTACACACACACACAGGTACACACACAGGTACACACACACACACAGGTACACACACAGGTACACACACAGACACAAGTACACACACACAGGTACACACAGGTACAGGTACACACACACAGACACACAGACACACACACACACAGGTACACACACACACACAAGTACACACAGGTATAGGTACACAGACACACACACACACAGGTACACACACACACACACAGGTACACACAGGCACACACACACAGACACACACAGACACACACAGGTACACACACAGGTACACACACAGACACAAGTACACACACACACACAGGTACACACACACACAGGTACACACACACACACACACAGGTACACACACACACACAGGTACACACACACACAGGTACACACACACAGACACAGGTACACAGACACACAAACACACAAACACACACACACAGGTACACACACACACACACAGGTACACACACACAAACACACACACAGGTACACACACACAGGTACACACACACAGACAAACACACACACAGGTACACACACACAGGTACACACACACAGGTACACACACAGACACACACACACACACAGGTACACACACACAGGTCCACACACAGGTACACACAGACACACACACACACACAGACACAAGTACACACTCACACAGGTACACACACAAAGACACAAGTACACACACACAGGTACACACACCACACAGACACACACACACACACAGGTACACACAGGTACAGGTACACACACACAGACACACAGACACACACACACAAACACACACACACACACAGACACACACACAAGTACACACACACACAGGTATACACACAGGTACACACACACACAGGTACACACACACAAGTACACACACACACAGGTACACACACAGGTACACACAGGTACACACACAGACACACACAAACACACACACACACACAGGTACACACACACACAGGTACACACACACACACAGGTACAGGTACACACACACACAAGTACACACACACAGACACAGGTACAGGTACACACACACAGACACACACACAAACACACACAGGTACACACACACAAACACACACACACACACACAGGTACACACACACAGACACAGGTACACACAGACACACACACAGACACACACACAGACACACACTCACACAGGTACACACAGACACACACACAGACACACACACACACACAGGTACACACAGACACACACACAGACACACACACAGACACACACTCACACAGGTACACTCACACAGGTACACACACACACACAGACACAGGTACAGGTACACACACACACACACAGACACACACACACACTCACACAGGTACACACACACACAGGTACAGGTACACACACACACACAGGTACAGGTACACACACACACACAGGTACACACACACACACAGGTACACACACACACACACAGGTACACACACAGACACACACACACAGGTACACACACACAGGTACACACACAGACACACACACACACAGGTACACACACACACACACAGGTACACACACAGACACACACACACACAGGTACACACACACTCACACAGGTACACACACAGACACACACACACACAGGTACACACACACACACACAGGTACACACACAGACACACACACACAGGTACACACAGACACACACAGGTACACACACACAGGTACACACAGACACACACAGGTACACACACACAGGTACACACAGACACACACAGGTACACACACACAGGTACACACAGACACACACAGGTACACACACACAGGTACACACACACACAGGTACACACACACAGGTACACACACACACAGGTACACACACAGACACACCCACACAGGTAGACACAGGCCAAGGCGCCTCACCTGGAGACAGCTGCAGCGTGCGGGTGGGGGCCATGAGCCCCGCCGCCGTCGCCGCGGCAACCGCCCGCGGGCCCTGGGGGAGGGCCACCCCGGCAACGCCCCCCGTTGCTAGGGGCGTCGCCGCCGCCGCCGCCGTCGCCACGACGACCGCCTCCCCCCCCGCCCCCGACGAGGAGGAGGGGAGGGGCAGAGCGAGGACCGGGGGGGGAGGGGTGGGTGGGGGGCGGGAGGAGGTGGGCATCACCATGGAGACGGAGGCTGAGGCTGAGGAGGAGATGGTGATGGCCTAGAGGGGGGCGGGGGTTGTGGTGGGGGGGGGGGACATGGGTGGGTGGGTGGGTGGGTGGGTGAGTGGGTGGGTGGGTGGGTGAGTGAGTGAGTGGGTGGGTGAGTGGGTGGGTGGGTGAGTGGGTGAGTGGGTGGGTGAGTGAGTGAGTGAGTGGGTGAGTGAGTGGGTGGGTGGGTGGGTGAGTGGGTGAGTGGGTGGGTGAGTGAGTGGGTGGGTGGGTGGGTGGGTGGGTGAGTGAGTGGGTGGGTGGGTGAGTGGGTGGGTGGGTGGGTGAGTGGGTGAGTGGGTGGGTGAGTGGGTGAGTGGGTGGGTGAGTGGGTGGGTGAGTGGGTGGGTGAGTGGGTGAGTGGGTGGGTGGGTGAGTGGGTGGGTGAGTGGGTGAGTGAGTGAGTGAGTGGGTGAGTGGGTGGGTGGGTGAGTGGGTGGGTGGGTGGGTGAGTGGGTGGGTGGGTGAGTGGGTGAGTGAGTGGGTGGGTGGGTGAGTGGGTGAGTGAGTGGGTGAGTGAGTGGGTGGGTGGGTGGGTGAGTGAGTGGGTGGGTGGGTGAGTGGGTGGGTGAGTGAGTGGGTGGGTGGGTGAGTGGGTGGGTGAGTGGGTGGGTGAGTGGGTGGGTGGGTGAGTGGGTGGGTGAGTGGGTGAGTGGGTGGGTGGGTGGGTGAGTGAGTGGGTGAGTGGGTGAGTGGGTGAGTGGGTGGGTGAGTGGGTGGGTGAGTGGGTGGGTGAGTGGGTGGGTGAGTGGGTGGGTGGGTGAGTGAGTGAGTGGGTGGGTGGGTGGGTGAGTGGGTGGGTGGGTGAGTGAGTGAGTGAGTGGGTGAGTGGGTGGGTGAGTGGGTGGGTGAGTGGGTGGGTGGGTGGGTGAGTGGGTGGGTGAGTGGGTGGGTGGGTGGGTGGGTGAGTGAGTGAATGAGTGGGTGAGTGAGTGGGTGGGTGGGTGAGTGGGTGAGTGAGTGGGTGGGTGGGTGAGTGGGTGAGTGGGTGGGTGAGTGAGTGGGTGAGTGAGTGAGTGGGTGGGTGAGTGAGTGAGTGAGTGGGTGAGTGGGTGGGTGAGTGGGTGAGTGGGTGGGTGGGTGAGTGGGTGAGTGGGTGGGTGAGTGGGTGGGTGGGTGAGTGGGTGGGTGGGTGGGTGAGTGGGTGGGTGGGTGAGTGAGTGGGTGGGTGGGTGGGTGAGTGGGTGAGTGGGTGGGTGAGTGGGTGGGTGGGTGAGTGGGTGGGTGAGTGAGTGAGTGAGTGGGTGAGTGGGTGGGTGAGTGGGTGAGTGGGTGGGTGGGTGAGTGGGTGAGTGGGTGAGTGAGTGGGTGGGTGGGTGGGTGAGTGGGTGGGTGGGTGGGTGAGTGAGTGGGTGGGTGGGTGGGTGAGTGGGTGAGTGGGTGGGTGAGTGGGTGGGTGGGTGAGTGGGTGGGTGGGTGGGTGAGTGGGTGGGTGAGTGAGTGAGTGAGTGGGTGAGTGAGTGGGTGAGTGAGTGGGTGGGTGGGTGAGTGGGTGGGTGGGTGGGTGAGTGGGTGGGTGAGTGGGTGAGTGGGTGAGTGGGTGGGTGAGTGGGTGGGTGAGTGGGTGGGTGAGTGGGTGGGTGAGTGAGTGGGTGGGTGAGTGGGTGAGTGGGTGGGTGAGTGAGTGAGTGAGTGGGTGAGTGAGTGGGTGAGTGAGTGGGTGGGTGGGTGGGTGAGTGAGTGAGTGAGTGGGTGGGTGAGTGAGTGAGTGGGTGAGTGGGTGAGTGGGTGGGTGAGTGGGTGGGTGAGTGGGTGAGTGGGTGGGTGAGTGGGTGGGTGAGTGGGTGGGTGAGTGAGTGAGTGAGTGGGTGAGTGAGTGAGTGAGTGGGTGAGTGAGTGAGTGGGTGAGTGAGTGGGTGGGTGGGTGGGTGAGTGAGTGAGTGGGTGAGTGAGTGAGTGAGTGGGTGAGTGGGTGGGTGAGTGGGTGGGTGAGTGAGTGGGTGGGTGGGTGAGTGGGTGGGTGGGTGGGTGAGTGAGTGAGTGAGTGGGTGGGTGAGTGAGTGAGTGGGTGAGTGGGTGGGTGAGTGGGTGGGTGAGTGAGTGAGTGAGTGAGTGGGTGGGTGAGTGAGTGAGTGGGTGAGTGGGTGGGTGAGTGGGTGGGTGAGTGGGTGGGTGGGTGGGTGAGTGGGTGAGTGGGTGGGTGAGTGGGTGGGTGGGTGGGTGAGTGGGTGGGTGAGTGGGTGGGTGAGTGAGTGGGTGGGTGGGTGAGTGGGTGGGTGGGTGGGTGGGTGGGTGGGTGGGTGGGTGAGTGGGTGGGTGAGTGAGTGGGTGAGTGAGTGAGTGGGTGGGTGGGTGAGTGGGTGGGTGGGTGGGTGAGTGGGTGGGTGGGTGAGTGGGTGAGTGAGTGGGTGAGTGGGTGAGTGGGTGGGTGAGTGGGTGGGTGGGTGAGTGGGTGGGTGAGTGGGTGAGTGAGTGGGTGGGAGAGTGGGTGAGTGGGTGGGTGGGTGAGTGAGTGGGTGAGTGAGTGGGTGGGTGGGTGGGTGAGTGGGTGGGTGGGTGGGTGGGTGAGTGAGTGGGTGAGTGAGTGGGTGGGTGAGTGAGTGAGTGGGTGGGTGGGTGAGTGGGTGGGTGGGTGAGTGGGTGGGTGGGTGAGTGGGTGAGTGGGTGGGTGAGTGGGTGAGTGGGTGGGTGAGTGGGTGGGTGAGTGAGTGAGTGAGTGGGTGAGTGAGTGAGTGGGTGGGTGGGTGGGTGAGTGAGTGGGTGGGTGGGTGAGTGAGTGAGTGGGTGAGTGGGTGGGTGAGTGGGTGGGTTAGTGAGTGGGTGGGTGGGTGAGTGGGTGGGTGGGTGGGTGAGTGAGTGAGTGGGTGGGTGAGTGAGTGAGTGGGTGAGTGGGTGGGTGAGTGGGTGGGTGAGTGAGTGAGTGAGTGGGTGGGTGAGTGAGTGAGTGAGTGGGTGAGTGGGTGGGTGAGTGGGTGAGTGGGTGGGTGGGTGAGTGGGTGAGTGGGTGGGTGAGTGGGTGGGTGGGTGAGTGAGTGGGTGGGTGGGTGAGTGAGTGGGTGGGTGGGTGGGTGAGTGGGTGAGTGGGTGGGTGAGTGGGTGGGTGGGTGAGTGGGTGGGTGGGTGGGTGAGTGGGTGGGTGAGTGAGTGAGTGAGTGGGTGAGTGGGTGGGTGAGTGGGTGAGTGGGTGGGTGGGTGAGTGGGTGAGTGGGTGGGTGAGTGGGTGGGTGGGTGAGTGAGTGGGTGGGTGGGTGGGTGAGTGGGTGGGTGGGTGGGTGGGTGAGTGAGTGGGTGGGTGGGTGAGTGGGTGAGTGGGTGGGTGAGTGGGTGGGTGGGTGAGTGGGTGGGTGGGTGGGTGGGTGAGTGGGTGGGTGGGTGGGTGAGTGGGTGGGTGAGTGAGTGAGTGAGTGGGTGAGTGAGTGGGTGAGTGAGTGGGTGGGTGGGTGAGTGGGTGGGTGGGTGGGTGAGTGAGTGGGTGGGTGAGTGGGTGAGTGGGTGGGTGAGTGGGTGGGTGAGTGAGTGGGTGGGTGAGTGGGTGAGTGGGTGGGTGAGTGAGTGAGTGAGTGGGTGAGTGAGTGGGTGAGTGAGTGGGTGGGTGGGGGGGTGAGTGAGTGAGTGAGTGGGTGGGTGAGTGAGTGAGTGGGTGAGTGGGTGAGTGGGTGGGTGAGTGGGTGGGTGAGTGGGTGAGTGGGTGGGTGAGTGGGTGGGTGAGTGGGTGGGTGAGTGAGTGAGTGAGTGGGTGAGTGAGTGAGTGGGTGAGTGAGTGGGTGGGTGGGTGGGTGAGTGAGTGAGTGGGTGAGTGGGTGGGTGAGTGGGTGGGTGAGTGAGTGGGTGGGTGGGTGAGTGGGTGGGTGGGTGGGTGAGTGAGTGAGTGGGTGGGTGAGTGAGTGAGTGGGTGAGTGGGTGGGTGAGTGGGTGGGTGAGTGAGTGAGTGAGTGGGTGGGTGAGTGAGTGAGTGAGTGGGTGAGTGGGTGGGTGAGTGGGTGGGTGAGTGGGTGGGTGGGTGGGTGAGTGGGTGAGTGGGTGGGTGAGTGGGTGGGTGGGTGAGTGAGTGGGTGGGTGGGTGGGTGAGTGGGTGAGTGGGTGGGTGAGTGGGTGGGTGGGTGAGTGGGTGGGTGGGTGGGTGGGTGAGTGGGTGGGTGAGTGAGTGAGTGAGTGGGTGAGTGAGTGGGTGAGTGAGTGGGTGAGTGAGTGGGTGGGTGGGTGAGTGGGTGGGTGGGTGGGTGAGTGGGTGGGAGAGTGGGTGAGTGGGTGGGTGAGTGGGTGGGTGAGTGAGTGAGTGGGTGAGTGAGTGAGTGGGTGAGTGAGTGGGTGGGTGGGTGAGTGAGTGAGTGAGTGGGTGGGTGAGTGAGTGAGTGGGTGAGTGGGTGGGTGAGTGGGTGGGTGAGTGAGTGGGTGGGTGGGTGAGTGGGTGGGTGGGTGGGTGAGTGAGTGAGTGAGTGGGTGGGTGAGTGAGTGGGTGGGTGAGTGGGTGGGTGAGTGGGTGGGTGAGTGAGTGAGTGAGTGGGTGGGTGAATGAGTGAGTGAGTGGGTGAGTGGGTGGGTGAGTGGGTGGGTGAGTGGGTGAGTGGGTGGGTGGGTGGGTGAGTGGGTGAGTGGGTGGGTGAGTGGGTGGGTGGGTGAGTGAGTGGGTGAGTGGGTGGGTGAGTGGGTGGGTGGGTGAGTGGGTGGGTGGGTGGGTGAGTGGGTGGGTGGGTGGGTGAGTGGGTGGGTGGGTGAGTGGGTGGGTGGGTGGGTGAGTGGGTGGGTGAGTGGGTGAGTGGGTGGGTGAGTGGGTGGGTGGGTGAGTGGGTGAGTGGGTGGGTGAGTGGGTGAGTGGGTGGGTGGGTGGGTGAGTGAGTGGGTGAGTGGGTGGGTGGGTGGGTGAGTGAGTGGGTGGGTGAGTGGGTGGGTGGGTGAGTGGGTGAGTGGGTGGGTGAGTGGGTGGGTGAGTGGGTGAGTGGGTGGGTGAGTGGGTGGGTGAGTGGGTGGGTGAGTGGGTGGGTGGGTGAGTGGGTGGGTGGGTGGGTGAGTGGGTGAGTGGGTGGGTGAGTGGGTGGGTGAGTGGGTGAGTGGGTGGGTGGGTGGGTGAGTGGGTGGGTGAGTGGGTGGGTGGGTGGGTGAGTGGGTGGGTGAGTGGGTGGGTGGGTGGGTGAGTGGGTGGGTGGGTGGGTGAGTGGGTGAGTGGGTGGGTGGGTGAGTGGGTGGGTGAGTGGGTGGGTGAGTGGGTGAGTGAGTGGGTGAGTGAGTGGGTGGGTGAGTGGGTGGGTGAGTGGGTGGGTGGGTGGGTGAGTGGGTGAGTGGGTGAGTGAGTGGGTGAGTGGGTGAGTGAGTGGGTGAGTGAGTGGGTGAGTGAGTGGGTGAGTGAGTGGGTGAGTGAGTGGGTGAGTGAGTGGGTGAGTGAGTGGGTGAGTGGGTGAGTGGGTGAGTGAGTGGGTGAGTGAGTGGGTGGGTGAGTGGGTGAGTGAGTGGGTGAGTGGGTGGGTGAGTGGGTGAGTGAGTGGGTGGGTGGGTGAGTGGGTGGGTGAGTGAGTGGGTGAGTGGCTGAGTGAGTGAGTGGGTGGGTGGGTGAGTGGGTGGGTGGGTGGGTGAGTGGGTGGGTGGGTGGGTGAGTGAGAGAGTGAGTGGGTGAGTGAGTGGGTGAGTGGGTGAGTGAGTGGGTGGGTGAGTGGGTGAGTGGGTGAGTGAGTGGGTGGGTGGGTGGGTGAGTGGGTGAGTGGCTGAGTGAGTGAGTGGGTGGGTGGGTGAGTGGGTGGGTGAGTGGGTGGGTGGGTGAGTGAGAGAGTGAGTGGGTGAGTGAGTGTGTGAGTGGGTGAGTGAGTGGGTGAGTGGGTGAGAGTGGGTGGGTGAGTGGGTGGGTGAGTGGCTGAGTGAGTGAGTGGGTGGGTGAGTGAGTGAGTGTGTGTGAGTGTGTGAGTGAGTGTGTGAGTGTGTGTGACTGTGTGAGTGTATGAGTGTATGTGAGTGTGAGTGAGTGAATGTGTGAGTGTATGTGAGTGTGTGTGTGTGATTGAGTGTGTATGTGTGTGAGTGTGTGAGTGACTGTGTGAGTGTATGTGAGTGTGTGTGACTGTGTGAGTGAGTGTGAGTGTGTACCTGTGTGAGTGTGTGAGTGTGTGTGAGTGTGAGTGAGTGTGAGTGTGTGAGTGTGTGTGAGTGTGAGTGAGTGTGAGTGTGTGTCTGTGTGTGAGTGTGTGTGTGAGTGAGTGTGTATGTATGTGTGAGTGTATGAGTGTGAGTGACTGTGTGAGTGTATGTGAGTGTGTGTGACTGTGTGAGTGAGTGTGAGTGTGTACCTGTGTGAGTGTGTGAGTGTGTGTGAGTGTGAGTGAGTGTGAGTGTGTGAGTGAGTGTGAGTGTGTGTCTGTGTGTGAGTGTGTGTGTGAGTGTGTATGTGAGTGTGAGTGTGTATATGTGTGTGTGTGTACCTGTGTGAGTGTGAGTGAGTGTGTCAGTGTGTGTGTGAGTGACTGTGTGTGTGTGTGAGTGACTGTGTGTGTCTGTGTGAGTGTGTGTGAGTGTGAGAGTGACTGTGTGAGTGTGTGTGTGTGAGTGTGTATGTGTGTGTGTGAGTGTGTGAGTGACTGTGTGTGAGTGTGAGTGTGTCTGTGTGTGTGTGTGAGTGTGTCAGTGTGTGTGTGAGTGACTGTGTGAGTGTAAGTGAATGTGTGTGTGAGTGTGTGTATGTGAGTGTGTGTGTGAGAGTGAGTGTGTCAGTGTGTGTGTGAGTGACTGTGTGTGTGTGTGAGTGACTGTGTGTGTCTGTGTGAGTGTGTGTGAGTGTGAGAGTGACTGTGTGTGTGAGTGAGTGTGAGTGAGTGTGAGTGTGTGAGTGTGTATGTGAGTGTGAGTGAGTGTGAGTGAGTGTATGTATGTCTGTGTGTGTGTGTGAGTGAGTGTGTCAGTGTGTGTGTGAGTGACTGTGTGTGTGTGTGAGTGAGTGTGTGTGTCTGTGTGTGTATGTGTGTATGTAACTGTGTGTGTGTGGTGCGTCCCCTCCCCCACGTACTCCGCGCTTGTCGAAGGCCTGGAAGGTCCCCGTGGCCCCCCCCAGCGTGGAGACGACCGCCCCGGCGTGTCCCAGGCCCCCCCCCAGCGTGGAGCCGGGAGGGACCCCCCCAACCGCCCCCGCCGGGGGAGGCTTCGCCACGCCAACGGCAACCTGCGTGCCCTGGTCACCACGGCGACGGTGGTCACGGCGACGGTCGTCGTGGCGATGGTGGTCACGGTGGTCATGGCGACGGCGGTCGTGGCGACGGTCGTCGTGGCTACTGTAGTCATGGCGACGGTGGTCACGGCGACGGCGGTCGTGGCGACGGTGGTCATGGCTACTGTAGGCATGGCGACGGTGGTCACGGTGACGGTGGTCATGGCTACTGTAGGCATGGCGACGGTGGTCATGGCTACTGTAGTCGTGGCGACGGTGGTCATGGCTACTGTAGTCATGGCGACGGTGGTCACGGCTACTGTAGTCGTGGCGACGGTGGTCATGGCTACTGTAGTCATGACCACCGTCGCCACGACTACTGTAGTCGTGGCGACGGTGGTCATGGCTACTGTAGTCGTGGCGACGGTGGTCATGGCTACTGTAGTCATGACCACCGTCGCCACGACTACTGTAGTCGTGGCGACGGTGGTCATGGCTACTGTAGTCGTGGCGACGGTGGTCATGGTCACTGTAGTCATGGAGACGGTGGTCATGGCTACTGTAGTCATGGAGACGGTGGTCATGGCTACGGTAGTCATGGAGACGGTGGTCATGGCTACGGTAGTCGTGGCGACGGTGGTCATGGCTACTGTAGTCGTGGCGACGGTGGTCAGGGTCACTGTAGTCATGGCGACGGTGGTCATGGCTACTGTAGTCGTGGCGACGGTGGTCATGGCTACTGTAGTCGTGGCGACGGTGGTCACGGCTACTGTAGTCATGGCGACGGTGGTCATGGCTACTGTAGTCATGGCGACGGTGGTCATGGTCACTGTAGTCATGGAGACGGTGGTCAGGGTCACTGTAGTCATAGCGACGGTGGTCATGGCTACTGTAGTCGTGGCGACGGTGGTCATGGCTACTGTAGTCGTGGCGACGGTGGTCATGGCTACTGTAGTCGTGACGACGGTGGTCATGGCTACTGTAGTCGTGGCGACGGTGGTCATGGCTACTGTAGTCGTGGCGACGGTGGTCACGGCTACTGTAGTCGTGGCGACGGTGGTCATGGCTACTGTAGTCATGGCGACGGTGGTCAGGGTCACTGTGATAGTCAGTGAGGATCACACATCTGTCGATTCCGAACCACGAACCTCCTGGCATCGCCAATTAGCACGGTTGGCTACGTACGGTGGTGAAACAAGTTCAACACCCGCAGACACACCCACAGACACACCCACACAGACACCCACAGAGACACCCACAGACACACCCACAGACACACCCACAGACACACCCACAGAGACACACACACACTCACAGACACCCACAGACACACCCACAAACACACCCACAGACACACCCACAGACACACCCACAGACACCCCCACAGACACCCCCACAGACACACCCACAGACACACCCACAGACACACCCACAGAGACACACAGACACCCCCACAGACACCCCCACAGACACCCCCACAGACACACCCACAGACACACCCACAGACACACACCCACAGACACACACCCACAGAGACACACCCACAGAGACACACCCACAGAGACACACCCACAGAGCCACTAAGTGGCGGTGACGTCACCACGACGCTTGTGCCAGGCTATGTGCACCCTGAGGCCACGTGAAGTGTCGAACGCCCGCTGGCAGGAGGTCACGGGGCAGACCCAGGTGCCACGGGTCGACTGACTGAGATGACTGGCTGATGCACCACCTGTGCCCCCTACTGTGCCAACCTGCTGTGCTTTAGCCACCCGGCGCTCCGCTCGCTGTTGTGAGCGTCGCTCCTCCGCCCTCCGTTGTTGTTGGAGGGCGACTGCCTCCAACTGCCCAGTAGCATCCTTCACGAGCCTCCTCCACAGAGGCCGATCTTGACACCGCTGGTACCAGTCATCGGCAAGTCCACTCAGCTCCACGTCCTCCTGTACCACATCACTCCATCTCTTCTCTAGCCCGTGCCGCGCCCGCTCAGCCCCCTCAATCCGGCCAAACAAAAGCTGTTTCGGCATGCGGTGGCTGGGCATGCGGGCTACATGACCCAGCCATCGCAGCCTTGCCTGCCGGAGGAGCTCACCGATGGGACCCTGCCCAGATCTTTCAAGGATTTGTGAGGTCCTCACACAATCCAGTCTGGTTAAACCCAGGATGGATTGTAGGCAGGCCAGCCTAAATGTTTCCAACCGGCGAAGATGTTCCATTAGGGGGGTCCACGTTTCGCAAGCGTAGAGAAGGGAGGGAATGACCGTGGCCGAGAAGACCTGAAGCTTAGTGCGGAGCGACAGACCAGGTAGCTTCCACACAGCGTTACGCAACCGATGAAAAGATATTGCCGCTCGACTGATTCGGAGTGAGACCTCTGCTGTTAAACTGGAGCCAGTCATAAGCACACTGCCCAGGTATGGGAAACTCTCCACTCTCTCCACAACTGCCCCATCACCGATTGGGAGCCGTGGGGGTGGAGTGTCTGATGGTACAAAATACCCAGGCAGGTGCTTAGTTTTGGTGGGGCTGATGGTAAGGCCCCACCTCTTAGTGGCACGCTCCAGTCTCAGCAGCAGCGTCTCCAACTCCTCCTCTGACTGAGCAGCTATTACCAAATCATCAGCATACATAACGTGGTTGAGCAATAGGGAGCCATCCCTTGACCGCACCCGGGCATCGATTAGCCTCCCATTATATCTGTACCATATGGAGATTCCCCCGGTACAGCTATTGAAGGCTTCACGAACTACGTGGTCAAAATAGATGTTAAATAATGTGGGAGCCAGAGGACATCCCTGTCGCACCCCAAGATGTACAGGGAATGGCTCTGACTCCCGGCCACGTAGTTTTACCCGGGCCCGCTCACCATCATGAAGGTCCTTAATGATCGTGAGCAGAGGGTCAGGTACTCCAAAAGCACGAAGAACGACCCAGAGCCCAGGCCTACTGATGGTATCATAGGCCTTGACCAGGTCAATAAAGCAGAGATGTAGGTCTTGTTGGAACTCCCTACACCTCTGCTGTAGCAGACGGACAGAAAATATGGCATCTGTGCAGGACCGCCCTTTCCTGAAACCGCACTGGGGCCCCGCAAGCCTCTCCTCAGCGTGCCTGGCAAGGCGATGCTGAATAATCCTTGCCATGACCTTTCCCGGCACACTGAGGAGTGAGATGCCCCTGTAGTTGTTACAGTCCGTGCGGTCCCCCTTCTTAAAAAGGGGGACCACCAGGGCATCCTTCCAATCCTGCGGAACCCGTCCAGTGGTCCAGACTGTTGTTATGATGTCATATAGGGCAGTCTGTGCACAAACGCCACCCTCCCTCAGCATTTCGCTTGGGAGATCATCTCTGCCCGCTGCCTTTCCTGGTCTCAGACTCCGGATCGCCTTCAATACTTCCTCAGCAGATGGCACCTCAGCCAGCCACTCACAGGGGGTGACTTCATCCAATATTTGAGGCAACCGCAGCCTCAGCAGGGTCATCCTCACTTTGTGCCACGATGTTTTCCTGGCTGAGGGATTTTCCCTCCCCCAGGACCTCACAGAAATGCTCAGCAAATCTGCGAACCTGTTCCTGGGGGTCGGAAATTGGATCACCGTTTTTTCCCCTAATGATGGTAATAGGTGTGGCGCTGCAGGTTACTTTTTTGATGGAGTTAAATAGAGATTTGTGATCACGGGCCACTGAGGCAGACTCCATCTCCTCAGCAACCCGCGACCACCACCCATCCTTGCAGCGCCTCACGGCTCTCCGAACCTCCGAGCGAAGGCTGCGGTAAGCCTCCTCATTCTCTGACGTGGGATTCTGTAGCCGATGACAGTGGGCCTGTCGCTTTTTCTCAACCATCCTGAACAACTCCTCTGTCATCCAGGGTGTCTGGGGAGGTCTGGACCGCGTACCCAGAGCAGCCATTGCAGCTGCATGAGTCACAGTCCTAAACCTCGCCCATTTACCCTCGACATCAGGAGGAGTCGGGGACGATGCCAATCCCAGCCGCAAGCGATGATGAAATTCTCGCTTGCAACTTTCATCAGATAACTGAGACCAGGCCACTTTAGGTTGGAATGGGGTCCTGGGTGTACACCCACCACCGGAGTGGAAGAATGGCAGGCGCATCTTACAGATGACTAGTCGATGGTCAGAGGGCAGATCAGCTCCACGGTAGGTCCTGGTGTCAAGGACATGGGCTCGCATTCGCTGGTCCGTCACTATGTAGTCCAGCAGATGTTCTTGCTTGGACCCGGCATGCATCCATGATGTTGTGTGGATGCGCCGATGCCGGAACAGCGTGTTGGTAATTACAAGCCCATGGGCTGCACAAACATCTAGCAGCCTCCTACTGTTGTTATTGAGCTGATCTGGCCCATGCCCTCCAATCACTCCAGACCAGGTGCCAGTATCATGACCAACTCGGGCATTGAAGTCACCCAACATGATGACTCTATCCCGAGGGGCCACTTTAGCCAGCACCTGTGACAGGAGGTCATAGAAGGCATCTGACTCATCGGCTTTGCCTGCATCCCTACACGGATGTTCATCTTCGGTGGGGGCATAAGTAACCACGACCACCATTCCTCGCCTCCGGTTGATGGGAAGGCGAGCCCAAAGTAGCCTGGGGCTTACAGCTTCCCACACCTCACCGCCACGCTCCCACGCCCCCTTCATTCTTTTGTTCAAAAGAAGACCCACACCCTGTTGTTTGGCAGTCTGCTGCCCCGAGTAGAGGACTGTCCACCCATAATGGTGGCAGGAGCCAGAGCCGGTCCACCGGACCTCCTGAATGCCGCATAGATCCAGGCGGTACCGGTCCAGCTCCCGACAGAGGAGTGGCAGCCTCTCCTCTGCAGTGAGCGTTCGAACATTCCACGTGGCCACCCGTAGTGGCTTTTCGTTGTTTCTGGAGTAGCCCCGAGGGTAGGTATTCAATCTCCTGGCACCGCCAATTGGGGTTTGGCCAGGAGACGTCATAGACGCCTGGCCCCCCGGGGCCTCCGGCACAAGCTTAGTTGTTACATATTTCAGTTTAATTCGTGGTTTTGTGGTAATTAATTGAAGGTGGAGGGATTAACAAGCCCCTCGCACCCGTCCAGAGCCCCCGTTTAGCCCCTGTGGTGGACACATATGCCATGAGGGGAGGAGCCAATCAAAATTGGATCTCCCCCCACAGCGCTGTCCACGACAGAGTTGCCCGTCTGGCACCGCGAGGAGGTAGGGGGTTGTTTTGCCGGAGACACAGACACACCCACAGACACCCACAGACACACCCACAGACACACACACAGACACACACCCACAGACACACACCCACAGACACACACCCACAGACACGCCCACAGACACACCCCCACAGACACACCCCCACAGAGACACCCCCACAATGTGTATCTCCCCCCGGCCACCATCTCCCCAAGTGCCCTCACCACCACCCCCCGCTCACCAAGGTGAGTGGGTGGTGGTGAGCTCCAGACACCGCTGACACCGCTGACACCGCTGACACCGCTGACACCGCTGACACCGCTGACACCAGCTGCTGCTGCTGCTGCCTCTGCTGCTGTTCAGCCAGAGCCTGTGGGGAGGGAGGGAGGTGGGGGAGGGAGTGAGGGGAGGGAGGTGGGGGAGGGAGGGAGCAGAGGGGATGGGAGTGAGGGGAGGGTGGGAGGGAGTGAGGGGAGGGAGGGAGTGAGGGAGGGGAGGGAGGGAGTGAGGGGAGGGAGTGAGGGAGGGAGGGGAGGGTGGGAGGGAGGGAGGGAAGTGGGGGAGGGAGGGGGGAGGGAGGTGGGGGAGTGAGGGAAGGGAGGGAGAGGGGAGTGAGTGATGATCTAAGTGTGTACACACCACTCACTCTCTCTCTCTCTGATCCACTGCCTCTGAGAATCATATTGTTATAGTTACATTGTTATTGAAGACAATACATCACATTGTTATAGTTATTGTTATTGAATACAATGCATCATATTGTTATAGTTACATTGTTATTGAAGACAATACATCACATTGTTATAGTTATTGTTATTGAAGACAATGCATCATATTGTTATAGTTACATTGTTATTGAAGACAATGCATCATATTGTTATAGTTACATTGTTATTGAAGACAATGCATCATATTGTTATAGTTATTGTTATTGAAGACAATGCATCATATTGTTATAGTTATTGTTATTGAATACAATGCATCATATTGTTATAGTTACATTGTTATTGAAGACAATGCATCATATTGTTATAGTTACATTGTTATTGAAGACAATGCATCATATTGTTATAGTTACATTGTTATTGAAGACAATGCATCATATTGTTATAGTTATTGTTATTGAAGACAATGCATCATATTGTTATAGTTATTGTTATTGAATACAATGCATCATATTGTTATAGTTACATTGTTATTGAAGACAATGCATCATATTGTTATAGTTACATTGTTATTGAAGACAATGCATCATATTGTTATAGTTATTGTTATTGAAGACAATGCATCATATTGTTATAGTTACATTGTTATTGAAGACAATGCATCATATTGTTATAGTTACATTGTTATTGAAGACAATGCATCATATTGTTATAGTTATTGTTATTGAAGACAATGCATCATAGTGTTATAGTTACATTGTTATTGAAGACAATGCATCATATTGTTATAGTTACATTGTTATTGAATACAATGCATCATATTGTTATAGTTACATTGTTATTGAAGACAATACATTACATTGTTATAGTTACATTGTTATTGAAGACAATGCATCATATTGTTATAGTTACATTGTTATTGAAGACAATGCATCATATTGTTATAGTTACATTGTTATTGAAGACAATGCATCATATTGTTATAGTTATTGAAGACAATGCATCACATTGTTATAGTTATTGTTATTGAAGACAATGCATCATATTGTTATAGTTACATTGTTATTGAAGACAATGCATTATATTGTTATAGTTATTGTTATTGAAGACAATGCATCATATTGTTATAGTTATTGTTATTGAATACAATGCATCATATTGTTATAGTTACATTGTTATTGAAGACAATGCATCATATTGTTATAGTTACATTGTTATTGAAGACAATGCATCATATTGTTATAGTTACATTGTTATTGAAGACAATGCATCATATTGTTATAGTTATTGTTATTGAAGACAATGCATCATATTGTTATAGTTATTGTTATTGAATACAATGCATCATATTGTTATAGTTACATTGTTATTGAAGACAATGCATCATATTGTTATAGTTACATTGTTATTGAAGACAATGCATCATATTGTTATAGTTATTGTTATTGAAGACAATGCATCATATTGTTATAGTTACATTGTTATTGAAAACAATGCATCATATTGTTATAGTTACATTGTTATTGAAGACAATGCATCATATTGTTATAGTTATTGTTATTGAAGACAATGCATCATAGTGTTATAGTTACATTGTTATTGAAGACAATGCATCATATTGTTATAGTTATTGTTATTGAAGACAATGCATCATATTGTTATAGTTACATTGTTATTGAAAACAATGCATCATATTGTTATAGTTACATTGTTATTGAAGACAATGCATCATATTGTTATAGTTACATTGTTATTGAAGACAATGCATCATATTGTTATAGTTATTGTTATTGAAGACAATGCATCATATTGTTATAGTTACATTGTTATTGAAGACAATGCATCATATTGTTATAGTTACATTGTTATTGAATACAATGCATCATATTGTTATAGTTACATTGTTATTGAAGACAATACATCACATTGTTATAGTTACATTGTTATTGAAGACAATGCATCATATTGTTATAGTTACATTGTTATTGAAGACAATGCATCATATTGTTATTATCAGAGCCATGTGTGTTTGCATGTTCACCCAGCCACCCCCCCACTCCCCCTCCCCCCACCCTCCTCCCCCCACCCTCCTCCCCCCACCTTCCCCCCCCGACCTTCCCCCCACCCCCCTCTCACCTTCTTTTCCTTAGCGATTCTCTCCGCTCTGAGCGCTGCCACCTGGACAGGCGACAGCGGCTTCTCGTAGCTGATACCGCTGCAACAACATCAACAACAACATCAACAACAACATCATTGTCATCAACAACAACATCAACAACATCAACAACATCAACAACAACATCAACAACATCAACAACATCAACAACAACATCAACAACAACATCATTGTCATCAACATCAACAACATCAACATCATCAACAACATCAACAACATCCTCATCAACAACATCATCAACAACATCAACAACATCAACAACAACATCAACAACAACATCATTGTCATCAACAACAACAACATCAACAACATCAACATCAACAACATCAACAACATCAACATCATAAACAACATCAACAACAACATCCTCATCAACAACAACATCAACAACATCAACAACATCAACAACATCAACAACAACATCAACAATAACATCAACAACATCAACAACAACATCAACAACAACATCAACAACAACAACATCAACATCAACAACAACATCGTCATCAACAACAACAACAACATCATCAACAACACTATCAATACCATCAACAACATCATCAACAACAACATCAATATCATCAACAACATCAACACCACCATCAACATCACCACCATCACCACCACCATCAACACCACCATCAACACCACCATCAACACCACCATCAACACCACCATCAACACCACCATCAACACCATCATCAACACCACCATCATCAACACCACCATCAACAACACCACCATCAACAACACCACCATCAACACATCATCACCATCACCACCATCACCATCACCACCACCATCATCACCACCACCATCACCATCAACATCACCACCACCATCAACATCAACATCACCATCACCATCACCACCATCATCACCATCACCACCACCATCACCACCATCATCATCACCACCATCCCCACCACCATCACCACCACCACCACCATCATCACCATCACCACCACCACCATCACCACCATCACCATCATCACCATCACCACCATCATCACCATCACCATCATCACCACCACCATCATCACCACCTCCACCACCACCACCATCACCACCACCACCATCACCACCACCACCATCACCACCATCACCATCACCACCACCACCACCACCATCATCACCACCACCCCCACCATCACCACCATCACCATCATCACCACCACCATCATCACCATCACCACCAACACCATCATCACCACCACCACCACCATCACCACCATCACCACCACCACCACCATCACCACCACCATCACCATCACCACCACCACCATCACCACCACCACCTCTACCACCACCACCTCTACCACCACCACCATCACCACCATCACCACCACCACCACCATCACCACCACCACCATCACCATCACCACCACCACCACCATCACCACCACCACCATCATCACCACCACCATCATCATCACCACCCCCACCATCACCACCATCACCATCATCACCACCACCACCATCATCATCATCACCACCCCCACCATCACCACCATCACCATCATCACCACCATCACCATCATCACCACCACCATCATCACCATCACCACCATCACCATCATCACCACCATCACCATCACCACCACCACCACCACCACCACCACCACCATCACCACCACCATCACCACCACCACCACCATCACCACCACCACCACCACCATCACCACCACCATCATCACCACCATCACCACCATCACCACCACCATCACCACCACCATCACCACCACCACCATCACCACCACCACCACCAGTGGTGTGGGGTGCTCACCTCTCCGACAGCACTGACACGTGCTTGGGATTCTTCTGGAAGGGATTTGACCCCAACCTGAAAAGTGCGCAGCACACACACAGACACAGTGACACAGTCACACACAGTGACACAGTCACACACACACAGACACATACAGTGACACAGTCACACACATACACACACACACAGACACACAGTGACACAGTCACACACACGCAGCACACACACAGTGACACAGTCACACACATACACACACACACAGACACACAGTGACACAGTCACACACACGCAGCACACACACAGTGACACAGTCACACACATACACACACACACAGACACAGTGACACAGACACACATACACACACAGACACAGTGACACAGTCACACACACAGTGACACAGTCACACACACATAGACACACACACACAGTGACACACACAGACACACACATAGACACACACACACACAGACACACACAGTCACACGCACATAGACACACACATGCAGACACACATACACACACAGTGACACAGTCACACACACACGCAGACACACACAGACACACACATACACACACAGTGACACAGTCACACGCACACAAACACATACACACACAGTGACACAGTCACACACACATAGACACACACACGCAGACACACACATAGACACACACACGCAGACACACACACACAGTGACACAGTCACACACACATAGACACACACACGTAGACACACACACGCAGACACACACATAGACACACACACGCACACAGACACTTTTTACACACAGTGACACAGTCACACACACATAGACACAAACACGCAGACACACACAGTGACACACATACACACACATACACACACAGTGACACAGTCACACACACATAAACACACACACGCAGACACACACACACATAGTGACACAGTCACACACACATAGACACACACACACGCAGACATACACATACACACACAGTGACACAGTCACACACATAGACACACACAGTCACACACACACGCACACACACATGCACAGACATACGCAGACACACACGCAGACACACACACATGCACAGACACACACACATGCACAGACACACACACATGCACAGATACACACACGTACACACACAGATAGACACGCACGCACGCAGACACACGCATGCGACGTCAGGGTGGGCGGGTGAGTGAGTGAGTGGGTGAGTGAGTGGGTGAGTGTCTGAGTGAGTGTGTGAGTGAGTGTGTGAGTGAGTGAGTGGGTGAGTGAGTGGGTGAGTGTCTGAGTGAGTGTGTGAGTGAGTGTGTGAGTGAGTGAGTGGGTGAGTGAGTGGGTGAGTGTGTGAGTGAGTGGGTGGGTGAGTGTCTGAGTGAGTGAGCGAGTGGGTGAGTGAGCAGGTGAGTGAGTGAGTGGGCGAGCGAGTGAGTGAGTGGGTGGGTGGATGAGTGTCTGAGTGAGTGGGTGAGTGTGTGAGTGGGTGACCGAGTGAATGGGTGAGTGAGCGAGCGAGTGGGTGAGTGAGTGAGTGAGTGGGTGAGTGAGTGAGTGAGTGTCTGAGCGGGTGAGTGGGTGAGTGAGTGAGCGGGTGAGTGAGTGACTGAGTGGGTGAGTGAGTGGGTGAGTGAGTGGGTGAGCGTGTGGGCACCCACAGGGGTTTGAGCGGCGCGCTGCGCTTGGCTGTGCTGCTCCGCACGAGCTCAAACTTGGCCGAGAAGAGCTCCGTCTGGGCCGTGTGCTCGTCCTGCGCGAAGATCTGGCTGGTGCACAGTGGCTGTCCACTCTTCGTCTACGGGGGAGGGGGCGGGGAGGGGGGGAGGGAGGGGGCAGTCAAATGATCATCACCACCACCACCACCATGAGGACCCACTACAGCCATCATCATCATCACCACCACCATGAGACACCCACTTAGCTCGCCCGCCCACTCACCCACTCACCCACTCAACCACCCATCCACCCACCTACTCACTCACCCACCCACCCACTCACTCACCCACCCACCTACCCACCCACCCACCCACTCACCCACCCACTCCCCCACCCACCCACCTGCTCACCAGCCACTCACCCACCCACCCACTCACTCACCCACCCACCCACTCACCCACCCACTCCCCCACCCACCCACCTGCTCACCAGCCACTCACCCACCCACCCACTCACTCACCCACCCACCCACTCACCCACCCACTCACCCACCACCCACCCACCCACTCACTCACCCATCCACCCACCCACTCACCACTCACCCACCCACCCACTCACCCACCCACTCACCCACCCACCCACCCACCCACCCACTCACCCACCCACCCACCCACTCACTCACCCATCCACCCACCCACTCACCACTCACCCACCCACCCACCCACTCACTCACCCATCCACCCACCCACTCACCACTCACCCACCCACCCACCCACTCACTCACCCATCCACCCACCCACTCACCACTCACCCACCCACCCACCTGCTCACCAGCCACTCACCCACTCAACCACCCACTCACCCAACCTCTCACCCACCCACTCACCCAACCTCTCACCCACCCACTCACCCACTCACTCACCCACCCACTCACCCACCCACTCACCCACCCACCCACCCACTCACTCACCCACCCACCCACCCACTCACTCACTCACTCACCCACCCACTCACCCACCCACTCACCTACCCACTCACCCACCCACTCACCCACCCACCCACCCACTCACTCACCCACCCACCCACTCACTCACTCACTTACCCACTCACTCACCCACTCACCCACCCACTCAACCACCCACTCACCCACCCACCCACCCACTCACTCACACACCCACTCACTCACTCACTCACTCACCCACTCACTCACCCACTCACTCACTCACTCACCCACTCACCCACCCACTCATTCATTCACCCACTCACCCACCCACTCACCCACCCACCCACTCACCCACTCACTCACTCACCCACTCACTCACCCACCCACCCACTCGCCCACCCACTCACCCACCCACCCACCCACTCACCCACCCACCCACCCACTCACCCACCCACCCACTCCCCCACCCACTCACCACCCACCTGCTCACCAGCCACTCACCTTGTAGACGCCTTTGGTCTTCTGCTTTTTCTTGGGGTGGAAGTCGTAGAGCAGCTGGGGGAGACAGTCAGCAGCTCACCATCACCGTCACCATGGCGACGGTGAGCTCACCACCACCGTCACCATGGCGACGGTGAGCTCACCGTCACCATGGCGACGGTGAGCTCACCACCACCGTCACCATGGCGACGGTGAGCTCACCACCACCGTCACCATGGCGACAGTCAGCTCACCCACCCACTCACTCACCCACTCACCCAGCTACTCACCCACCCACTCACCCACCCACTCACCCACCCACTCATTCATTCACCCACCCACCAACCCACTTACCCACCCACCCCCCCACCCACCCAGCCACCCACTAACCCACTCATTCACCCACCCACCCCCCCACCCAGCCACCCACCCACCCCCCCACCCAGCCACCCACCCCCCCACCCACTCACCCACTGACCCCCCCACCCAGCCACCCACACCCCCACCCAGCCACCCACTCACCCACTCACTAACCCACCCAGCCACCCACTCACTAACCCACCCACTCACTCACCCACCCACCCACCCACCAACCCACTTACCCACCCACCCACTCACTAACCCACCCACCCACCCACTCACTAACCCACCCACTCACTAACCCACCCACTCACTAACCCACCCACTCACTAACCCACCCACCCACTCACTAACCCACCCACTCACTCACCCACCCACCCACCCACTTACCCACCCACCCAGCCACCCACTCACTAACCCACCCAGCCACCCACTCACTAACCCACCCAGCCACCCACTCACTCACTCACCCCCCCACCCTGCCACCCACCACCCCCCCACCCCCCCACCCACCCACCCCCCCACCTCCCCCCCACCCACCTTGCCCTCCTCGCGAGGCACCACAACGGCCTCGTAGCGTGAGCGGCAGTGTTTTGGTGAGCGGTAGACACGGCTCACCACGTTCACCACGTCGCTCACCAGCTCCCAGTTGGGGGTGTGTGCCGGGGACACCAGGGCCAGGTTCAGCGGCAGCTCCAGCAGCTGCTGGATCGCCTGGTGGGGGGGTGGGTGGGTGGGTGGGTGAGTAGGTGGGTGGGTGAGTAGGTGGGTGAGTGGGTGGGTGAGTGAGTGGGTGAGTGGGTGGGTGAGTGAGTGGGTGAGTGGGTGGGTGGGTGGGTGAGTGGGTGAGTGGGTGAGTGGGTGGGTGAGTGGGTGGGTGGGTGGGTGAGTGGGTGGGTGAGTGGGTGGGTGGGTGAGTGAGTGGGTGAGTGGGTGGGTGAGTGGGTGGGTGAGTGAGTGGCTGAGTGGGTGAGTGGGTGGGTGAGTAGGTGGGTGAGTGAGTGGGTAGGTGGGTGAGTGAGTGGGTGGGTGGGTGGGTAGGTGGGTGGGTGGGTGAGTGGGTGAGTTGGTGCGTGTGTGTGTGTGTCTGTGGTCCGGCATGCCCAAACAGCTTTTGTTCCGCCGGATCGAGGGGGGCTAAACGGGCGCGGCACGGGCTAGAGAAGAGACGGAGTGACGTGGTACAGGAGGACGCGGAGCTGAGCGGACCTGCCGATGACCGGTACCGGCGGTGTCAAGATCGGATTTCTTGTTGAAGGTGATCGCGCAATTGGCGTTTTGGAGCGTCCGCCTAAGGCACTGATGGTCTTCCAAAGTTGTGACGAGTTTTTGGCGGTGGTCAAAACATTCGACAAACTCCTGCCAGTGTTGCCTTGATTCGGCTCCATCGATGAAGCTTTGCGATTTCAACATTGAAGACGGAAGGCCGCGAGAGGATTTGTGGTGACGTAGGGTCTTTGTTCCGCCCTAACGGTGTCCCCGTCGGTTTATTAGCGTCGAGGCTTGTTCGGTGGACGCAGGGAAGGGTGTTTGCTTCCAGCAAACCTCGAACTTGGTTGTAGTCGCGATGGTGTTTGTGAAAATCTTTTCAAGGGGTTCCGCGCGGCTGCGGCTGATGCTGTCGGCGAAGAATTATTCTGAAATCGTACGTGGGCAGGCGCCCTTTTTTTTTTTAAAAGTTGCAATACAAGCGGGCTTCTAGGATTTAAATGTGGAATTTAAAGCTTTCGTGAATGCAGGGATTCATATTCTTGGTGCTCTCGGTAAAGTCACCGCCACGTAGAAGGGAAATAATAAAAATGCAAAACAATAAAATTATTATTCTTGGTTCTTTCGGTAAAGTCACCGCCACGTAGAAGGGAAACAATAAAATAATAAAAATATAAAACAATAAAATTATTATTCTTGGTTCTTTGGGTAAAGTCACCACCACGTAGAAGGGAAACAATAAAATAATAAAAATATAAAACAATAAAATTATTATTCTTGGTCCTCTCGGTAAAGTCACCGCCACGTAGAAGGGAAACAATAAAATAATAAAAATATAAAACAATAAAATTATTATTCTTGGTTCTTTCGATAAAGTCACTGCCACGTGGAAGGGAAACAATAAAATAATAAAAATATAAAACAATAAAATTATTGTAAAACATTAAAATTATTATTCTTGGTCCTTTGGGTAAAGTCACCACCACGTAGAAGGGAAACAATAAAATAATAAAAATATAAAACAATAAAATTATTGTAAAACATTAAAATTATTATTCTTGGTCCTCTCGGTAAAGTCACCGCCACGTGGAAGGGAAACAATAAAATGATAAAAAATTAAACATAAAATAAAATTCTCACGATGTTTCGGCCACAACACAAGCAGCCTTCCTCAGGTGAAGTAACAGAACTGTCGGTAAGACGGCGCCTGCTTCAGTGAACACCGCTAAGCTTGGCAGCGTCTTTTAAGCTGGGTGGGAGCAGCAGAACACCTTGACAAAGGAGTTTACATATCAGCAAAGTAGCTTAGCATTGAAACAGTTGAGGGATTAGCTTGTGACTGGTCACAGAAATAGCCGTGTTAATGTGTTGGATTAGCAGGGTGTTAAAGTCAGACATTAGCATGTAACTGGGAGATTAGCATGATGTTAGTGTGAGGAATTAGCATGTAACTGGTCACGGAAGTAGCTATGTTAAAGTCAGAGTTTACATATCAACAGAGGAATTTAGCATTGAAGTAGCCGTGTTAATGTGATAGATTAGCAGGGTGTTAAAGTCAGACATTAGCATGTAACTGGGAGATTAGCATGATGTTAGTGTGATGGATTAGCATGTAACTGGTCACGGAAGTAGCTATGTTAAAGTCAGAGTTTACATATCAACAGAGGAATTTACCATTGAAGCAGCTGTGTTAATGTGATAGATTAGCAGGATGTTAAAGTCATAAATTAGCATGTAACTGGGAGATTAGCACGATGTTAGTGTGAGGGATTAGCATGTAACTGGTCACGGAAGTATCTATGTTAAAGTCAGAGTTTACATATCAACAGAAGACTTTAGCATTGAAGCAGCTGTGATAATGTGTTGGATTAGCAGGGTGTTAAAGTCAGACATTAGCATGTAACTGGGAGATTAGCATGATGTTAACGTGAGGATTTAGCATGTAACTGGTCACAGAAGTAGCTATGTTAAAGTTTACATATTAACAGAAGACTTTAGCATTGAAGCAGCTGTGTTAATGTGTTGGATTAGCAGGGTGTTAAAGTCATAAATTAGCATGTAACTGGGAGATTAGCACGATGTTAATGTGAGGGATTAGCATGTAACTGGTCACGGAAGTAGCTATGTTAAAGTCAGAGTTTACATATCAACAGAGGCATTTAGTATATTGACGCTAAATAACTGCAACTACCCAACTATCATACAATAAACCGATGTGAAATAACTAAATATAAACTACATCAATATAATCAATGTATTCTTAGTTTTTTCGGTAAAGTCACGTTGAAGAGAAACAACAAAATATATATAAAACAATAAAAAATTCTCACGACGTTTCGACCATAACTCAAACGGTCATCTTCAGGTGTGTTGGTTTGCATAAATTTATTTTTAAACGGCACATTTATTTATTTATAAAAAAACGTTAGCGCCACGCGCAGCGATTGGCAGTTTGCCCAGGACTAGTCCATCTATTTTTTTTTTAAAAGAGGAGGGGGGAGACGAAATTTTTTATAATGTATGCCGTCTGAAAGCCAAAAAAAAATAGATGGACTAGTCCTGGGCAAACTGCCAATCACTGCGCGTGACGCCAACGTTTTTTTTATAAATAAATAAATGTGCCGTTTAAAAATAAATTTATGCAAACCGACACACCTGAAGACGACCGTTTGTGTTATGGTCGAAACGTCGTGATAATTTTTTATTGTTTTATATATATTTTGTTATTTTGTTGTTTCTCTTCAACGTGACTTTACCGAAAGAACTAAGAATATGAATTACTGCAGTCACGAAAGCTTTAAATCAAAATATAATCAATGTACTCAATATATTCTCCAATAAGCTGAGCTATTAACATAAAGTAACTGGGTATACACTACACTACATAATGAATACCATATAGTAAACTGATAAAAAAAAACTATTATATATAAACTACGTCAATGTTATCAATAAACTCAATATACTCTCCAATCAGCTGAGCTACCAACAATAAGTCGTTATACATTACAATCATTCTGCTGATGTGTAAACTCCTTTGTCAAGGCGCTCCGCTCCTCCCACCCAGCTTAAAAGACGCTGCCAAGCTTAGCGGTGTTCACTGAAGCAGGCGCCGTCTTCCCGACAGTTCTGTTCCTTCACCTGAGGAAGGCTGCTTGTGTTGTGGCCGAAACGCCGCGAGAATTTTACCACATTATTTTATTATTTCCCTTCCACGCGGCAACTTTACCGAAATCTCGGCAAAAGCCGATATATATTCAACTCATGGTTGCGAGGGCAAGAGCTCGTGGTTGAGATGTAGACGTTGTAGGAAGAGGTTTTTACCCTTTTAACTGGCACAAAAAAAACTGACACCTTTATTCAAGGCATCGTGTTTGCAATAACCACAACACAAGCAGTCAAAATGCAAACAAAAATAGACAACTCTGATAATAATATTGGCACTGTCCTTGAATTTGATTGGTCCACACCAGACGGCTTTTCTTAGAGCCCTTTAGTCTCTCCACTGGTGTTGCACCAGATGATACCACAAGGCGTACAACTCAAAAACAGCGCACTATCAGAGTATTGAGGGCTCGGGGTGAGCCTTTACATTATGACACCTCCTTTGCCAGTAAGAGGATATAGTAATAGGGTTTTACCCTTTTAACTGGCACAAAAACTGACACCTTTATTCAAGGCATCGTGTTTGCAATAGCCACAACACAAGCAGTCCAAATGCAAACAAAAATAGACAACTCTGATAATGATATTGGCACTGTCCTTGAATTTGATTGGTCCACACCAGAGACGGCTTTTCTTAGAGCCCTTTAGTCTCCACTGGTGTTGGACCAGATGACACCACAAGGCGTACAACTCAAAAACAGCGCACTATCAGAGTTATTGAGGGCTCAGGGTGAGCATTTACAACACCAGTTTCCCTTCGACGTGGTGACTTGACCGAAAGAGCTAAAGAACTTGAATCACTGCAGCCACGAAAGCTCTAAATCGAAACTGAATGCTGTCGTGGTTGAGGCGAGGCGAGACCGCCACCCTGGCTGTCTCTCTCTCTCTCTCTCTTACGGAGCGACGGCGGGGGGACAACCTCGAGTGGATTTTCAATTTCGTTTCCTCCGACGGCGGCGACGTCAACGTGCCGCAGGAGTCCAACAGATTTGTCGGCGACGCCGTCGACGATTCGGTCCGGGGGAGGTCCCTCTCTCGGGTCGTTTCTGCCGTGGACGTTTTGCGGTGCGGTTGAAACGGTGATTGTGATGGGTGGCGGTGCTGCTGCTGCTGCTGCTTGTGCAGGGTCGAGTTGTCGGGAGGGGAACGATTCGCAGAACCAGCCGGAATTTCGAACGGCGCAGCGAGGCGTTCGCGTCACCAAGCCTCGCCGAGCCTCGGCAAGCCTCGCCAAGCCTCGCCAAGCCTCGCCAAGCCTCGGCAAGCCTCGCCAAGCCTCGGCAAGCCTCGCCAAGCGTCGCCAAGCCTCGCCAAGCCTCGCCAAGCCTCGCCAAGCCTCGCCAAGCCTCGCCAAGCCTCGGCAAGCCTCGCCAAGCCTCGGCAAGCCTCGCCAAGCGTCGCCAAGCCTCGCCAAGCCTCGCCAAGCGTCGCATATCGGATAGAATTTTGCTTCGGCTAATCTTCGCCGTGGCCGCCGCGAAGGGCGAAAACGGGGCCTGGATTAAACTCCCGAGTCCCCCGGCAATGATGAGAAGCCAGCTGCGGGGGCGCGGGGAGGCCTGCGATGCCCACGGCGAAGCCGCCATGGGCAAGTGGCTCAGGCGCATTCAGGTCGCCAACACGGGGGACAAGCGGCAACGGCAGTAGCGGTGGTCGTCGTCCAGAGGACGGGCGAGTGGCAGTCACCGCTAAACCTCACCGTCATGGAAACCATCAAACCCTCACCCCCCCACCGTCACCCCCCCACCGTCACCCCCCCACCGTCACCCCCCCCCACACCCTCACCCCCCCACCGTCACCCCCCCACCGTCACCCCCCCACCCTCACCCCCCCCCACACCGTCACCCCCCCACCGCGTCACCTGCAGCAGGGCCCAGTCCTCGTTGACGAGCCACTGCGGCTGGTCGGCGGCGAGATCCGGCGGCGGCGGCGGCAGCGGCGGCGGCGGCCCCACGCGGCCCACGGCGGCCCCCCCGTCCCGGCGGGGCCGCGGGCGGCACGAACGACGCCGCCGCGGCCGCCGACGCGGCCGCGGCGTCGGCAGCGGCCGCGTCCGCTGCCGCGGCCGCTGCCGCGGCCGCGGCAGCGGCCGCGGCAGCGGCCGCGGCCGATCCCCCGACCCCCGGGACGGCCGCCGGGGTCGCCGCGACGACGCCGCCGCCGCCGGCCGCGGCCGCGGCCGCGGCCGCGGCCGCGGCCGCGGCCGCGGCCGCGGCGGCCGAGCCGAGCGCCGCGGCCTTGGCCACGGCCTTCCGCTGCTGCTGCCGCGCCTCCCGGCGGGCGCGCAGCACCTGGGGCGTGGGTCGCTCAAACAGCGAGCGGGGCGGCACCGCCGGCGACACCGGGCACGAGCTCGCCGCGGCCCCGGCGGCGGCCCCGGCGGCGGCCCCAGCGGCCCCGGCAGCAGCGCCGCCGGTGGCGGTGGCTGCGGCGGCGGCCCCGGGGATGCCGGCGGTGATGCAGGAGGAGGCGGCGATGGAGGCCGCCTTGCGGTGCTTCTTGCCGACTGGGAGGGGGGAGAGGGGGAGGAGACGGTGACGGTGGTGGTGGTGGTGGTGATGGTGGTGGTGATGATAGTGATGGTAGTGATAGTGATGATAGTGATGACGATAGTGATGGTAGTGATGATAGTGATAGTGATGGTAGTGATGATAGTGATGGTAGTGATGATGGTAGTGACGGTAGTGATAGTGATGATAGTAATGGTAGTGATAGTGATGATAGTGATGGTAGTGATAGTGATGATGGTGATGGTAGTGATAGTGATGATGGTGATGGTAGTGATAGTGATGATGGTGATGACGATAGTGATGAGTGATGATAGTGATGATAGTGACGGTAGTGATGGAAGTGATGATAGTGATGGTAGTGATGATAGTGATGACGATAGTGATGGTAGTGATAGTGATGGTAGTGATGATAGTGATGGTAGTGATGATAGTGATGACAGTAGTGACAGTAGTGATAGTGATGGTAGTGATAGTGATTGTAGTTATGACGGTAGTAGTGATGGTATTGATGGTAGTGATGGTAGTAATGATGGTGATGATGGTGATGATAGTGACGATAGTGATGACGGTAGTGATGGTAGTGATGGTAGTGACGGTAGTAGTGATGATAGTGATGGTAGTGATGATAGTGATGATGGTGATGACAATAGTGATGATAGTGATGGTAGTGATGACGGTAGTAGTGATGATAGTGACGATAGTGATGGTAGTGATGATGGTGATGGTAGTGATGACGGTAGTAGTGATGATGATAGTGATGATGATAGTGATGATAGTGACGACGGTAGTAGTGATGATAGTGATGGTAGTGATGATGGTGATGATAGTGATGACGGTAGTAGTGATGATAGTGATGACGGTAGTGACGATGGTGATGATAGTGATGATAGTGACGGTAGTAGTGATGGTAGTGATGATAGTGATGACGGTAGTGATAGTGACGGTAGTGATGGTAGTGACGACGGTAGTGATAGTGACGGTAGTGATGGTAGTGATGATGGTAGTGATGATAGTGATGATGGTAGTGATGATAGTGATGACGATAGTAGTGATGATAGTGATGACGGTAGTAGTGATGATAGTGATGGTAGTGATAGTGGTGATGATAGTGATGATAGTGATGACGGTAGTAGTGATGATGATGGTGACGATGGTGACGATGGTGATGATAGTGACGACGGTAGTGATGGTAGTTATGATGATGGTGATGATAGTGATGACGGTAGTGATAGTGACGGTAGTGATGATGGTGATGATAGTGATGATAGTGATGGTGGTGATGATAGTGACGGTAGTGATGATAGTGACGGTAGTGATGGTAGTGATGATGATAGTGATGATGGTGATGACGGTAGTGACGATGGTGATGATAGTGACGACGGTAGTGATAGTGATGATAGTGATGATGGTGATGACGGTAGTGATGATGGTGATGATAGTGATGACGGTAGTAGTGATGATAGTGATGATGGTGATGATGGTGATGACGGTAGTGACGATGGTGATGATAGTGATGACGGTAGTGATGATGGTAGTGACGGTAGTGATAGTGATGATAGTGATGATGGTGATGATGGTGATGATGATGGTGATGATAGTGATGACGGTAGTGATGGTAGTGATAGTGACGGTAGTGATGGTAGTAGTGATGATGGTGATGACGGTAGTAGTGATGATGGTGATGGTGGTGATGATAGTGATGATAGTGACGACGGTAGTAGTGATGATGGTGATGATGGTGATAGTGATGATAGTGATGACGGTAGTGATAGTGACGATGGTGACGATGGTGACGACGGTAGTGATGATAGTGATGATGATAGTGATGATGGTGATGGTAGTAGTGATGACGGTAGTGATGACGGTAGTGATGATAGTGATGATGGTGACGGTAGTGATGACGGTAGTAGTGATAGTGATGATGGTGACGGTAGTGATGACGGTAGTAGTGATGATGGTAGTGATGATGGTGATGACGGTAGTGATGGTGATGATAGTGACGGTAGTGATAACGGTAGTAGTGACGATGATAGTGATGATAGTGATGATGGTGACGGTAGTGATAGTGATGACGGTAGTAGTGATGATAGTGATGATAGTGACGGTAGTGATGGTAGTGACGGTAGTGACGGTAGTGATAGTGATGATAGTGATGACGGTAGTGATGGTAGTGATGATGGTGACGATGGTGATGACGGTAGTGACGGTGATGATAGTGACGGTAGTGATGACGATGATAGTGATGGTGATGACGGTAGTGATAGTGATGACGGTGTTCCCCCACGCCCCCCCCCCCCCCCCCCCCCCACCTGATGCCGTGGGCTCCCCCCGGTGCCCACCGCCCCCCCCCGTGCCTGCGCCCCGCCCCCCCCGCCCCCCCCCGCCGCGTCAGCGGCTGCCCCCGTGCCGTGGGCGGTGTGCGGTAGCGGGGGCAGCAGAGACTCCACCATGGTGCCCGGGCAGTACAGCGCCAACACAGCGAGGTCCACAAACTCCTCCTCCTCCTCCTCCTCGTGGGGGGGAGTGGGGGGGGTCCAGATCTGGGGGGAGTGGGGGGGGGTGGTAAGATATGGGGAGGTGAGGGGAGACACAGGGGAGACACACAGAGACACACAGAGACACAGGGGAGACACACAGAGACACACAGAGACACAGGGGAGACACACAGAGACACACAGAGACACAGGGAGACACACAGAGACACACAGAGACACACAGAGACACAGGGAGACACACAGAGACTCCACCATGGTGCCCGGGCAGTACAGCGCCAACACAGCCAGGTCCACAAACTCCTCCTCCTCCTCCTCCTCGTGGGGGGGAGTGGGGGGGGTCCAGATCTGGGGGGGGGAGTGTCACGGGGTGGTAAGATATGGGGAGGTGAGGGGAGACACAGGGGAGAGAGACAGAGGAGACACACAGACAGAGAGAGAGGGGAGAGAGACAGAGACAGAGACACACAGAAACAGACAGAGACAGAGGGGAGAGAGAGACACAGGGGAGACACACAGAGACACACAGAGACACACAGAGACACACAGAGACACAGGGAGACACACACAGACACACAGAGACACAGGGGAGACACACAGAGACACAGGGGAGACACACAGAGACTCCACCATGCTGCCCGGGCAGTACAGCGCCAACACAGCCAGGTCCACAAACTCCTCCTCCTCCTCCTCCTCGTGGGGGGGAGTGGGGGGGGTCCAGATCTGGGGGGGGAGTGGGGGGGGAGTGTCACGGGGTGATAAGATATGGGGAGGTGAGGGGAGACACAGGGGAGACACACAGAGACACACAGAGACACACAGAGACACACAGAGACACACAGAGACACACAGAGACACACAGAGACACACAGAGACACACAGAGACTCACAGAGACACAGGGAGACACACAGAGACACAGGGAGACACACAGAGACACACAGAGACACAGAGAGACACACAGAGACACACAGAGACACACAGAGACACACAGAGACACACAGAGACACACAGAGACACAGAGAGACACACAGAGACACACAGAGACACACAGAGACACACAGAGACACACAGAGACACACAGAGACTCACAGAGACACAGGGGAGACACACAGAGACACAGGGAGACACACAGAGACTCCACCATGGTGCCCGGGCAGTACAGCGCCAACACAGCCAGGTCCACAAACTCCTCCTCCTCCTCCTCCTCGTGGGGGGGAGTGGGGGGGGTCCAGATCTGGGGGGGGGAGTGTCACGGGGTGGTAAGATATGGGGAGGTGAGGGGAGACACAGGGGAGACACACAGAGACACACAGAGACACAGGGAGACACACAGAGACACACAGAGACACAGGGAGACACACAGAGACACACAGAGACACAGGGGAGACACACAGAGACACACAGAGACACAGGGGAGACACACAGAGACACACAGAGACACAGGGGAGACACACAGAGACACACAGAGACACAGGGGAGACACACAGAGACACACAGAGACACAGGGGAGACACACAGAGACACACAGAGACACACAGAGACACACAGAGACTCACAGAGACACACAGAGACACACAGAGACACAGGGAGACACACAGAGACACAGGGAGACACACAGAGACTCCACCATGGTGCCCGGGCAGTACAGCGCCAACACAGCAAGGTCCACAAACTCCTCCTCCTCCTCCTCCTCGTGGGGGGGAGTGGGGGGGGTCCAGATCTGGGGGGGGGAGTGTCACGGGGTGGTAAGATATGGGGAGGTGAGGGGAGACACAGGGGAGACACACAGAGACACACAGAGACACACAGAGACACAGGGAGACACAGGGGAGACACATAGAGACACACAGAGACACAGGGAGACACACAGAGACACACAGAGACACAGGGGAGACACAGGGGAGACACACAGAGATACACAGAGACACAGGGAGACACACAGAGACTCCAC